TGAAAAAATGGAAAGGTATTGGTTTTGCTTTTGCTTTTAACACTTCGAATCCTCTTGTTGAATTACTGCCATCTCGTGGTCATGTACCGATATTGATTGCCTCTGCAACTGTTGATTCCTGCACTGAGGGACCGGCCATTGCAAGGTTGTGATGAAAAAAAAAAAGGAGGCCATGTTTAAAAACCACTCTTCACGTGTGGCTCGTTCAATAGATTAATAGATTATTCTAGTCCTTTCCAAATATGGTTTCTTTCAATCCTAGCATTTGCAAATGGTACGGGCAACACATCTAACGTGTTATTGTGTTATTTTTTTGAGGCTCATTTTTGCAAGAAAAAAATAGTAAAAAATGTTAATTTACATTTTCTCATTTGATTACTGGATTGCATCCAGCAAAGCTATGATTGTTTTTATTTCCTGGTTTATTTTGAGGAGTGCTATTGAGATTTAATTCTCCAGAAATAAGTGCACAGTGTTGTACAGATAAACTGGGTCAGAATTTTAGAGAGGGATAAAGAGAGGACTCGACTGAGAGATGATTTTGTATCATCTGAGCTTTTTTTTTTTTTTAAATTATCACACATCATACAAGACAGCACAGGGACATAATTCAATTTTTTTTTTTTTTTATTCCAACTATGATCAGGCGGAACATTTTCAAATGAGCAACATCAAAGTCTGACATTTATCTAGACTCAAAAATGAAGCAAGGCCATTCTCTCCCACGTTGTCTTAAGTTGGATAACGATGAGTGCAACTCTGGAAGCCGACTAGTATTTAATCCATACTGGCAGATAAAGAAAACTGGATTTTTGCACAAATGAGGAAATAACACTTTAACAATACCAAGCACAAGAACCGCCTGTGCCTCGTGATCACAGTGAATACAGAAGATATCAAAAATGTCTACGGTATAAAAAACACAAAGTATAAAGCTGTTTCATTTACAGTAATAACACTTGCTTCATAATCAAAAGGCTGAGTGCCGTTTTTAAGGTGGTATGTTTTTAAGGGGGAGTTAATTGTAATCCGTAATACAATACCGCAGGAAACACTCTTTTTTTTTTTTTTTTTTTTTTTTCCCCTCCGTCAACAGTCATGTATGCAGTGTCTCTCACAATGTAGAAGGCACGCAAGGAGATCGCTTCACGTGTGGTCAGTTAACGCTGTTGGAATCGAACATATTTCTGCAAATGACTGCGTATACACCTTGTACTCCGGAGCGAAAATATCCCTTATTACCGCGTTAGCTTCTGAGCAGCACACTTGATGTGTGAGAGGATGAGAGAGGTTGGATTTCCCCTGACTCATGAGGCGTAAGGAGATACACCTGAAAAGATGGGATGCTTCTCTTGCTTTTGGCGCATATGTCAAAGTGCCGTCATCTGATCAGTTTCTAATGCATTCCTACCTGATAAGCACCGCTGTTTTAATGTGCTGTGTCAGTACTCTTTAGAATAAGAAAAAAAAATGTTTTTGTTTTTTTTATTAACAATCTCCTGACCCCAAGAAACCACATTTATTATTAAATTAGCACCCTCCATTAGGTGGTCCATGTTGCTGAGAAGGTCGTGCACTTCATCGGCGATGAGAATGCACTAGCTTTGAGGTAAAAAAACAAAAAACTAAAAAAAAAAGTACTTTTGTTTTTTTTTTTACCCGCACACTATCAAAAACAACACCGTTTGCACTAAACTACAAACACGGCACACAGAACGCTCTGGAAAAAAGCTCACAAAAGCAGCATTAAAAAAAAAAGAAATGACTTCAAATATCTATAAAAACATTAATATTAATAATAATAATAATAAATAAAACCTCCTGGTCTGGTAGTTATTCTACTCTCCCTAAGATAAAATGCCATTAGTTTTCTTTCTCTTTTTAACGTAATATATATTTTATTATATTTTCTGATTGATTTATAGATTTTGAAGAGTGCAATGATTATTAGGATTATTTATAAAATAAAAAAGTTCATAATTGCAAAGAGGACTATATCCAACTGTAAGGGTGAGAAATAAACAATACATTTATGCCCATTTTTTTTTTTTTTTTTTTAAATTTGAAATAATACCTGACCCATGTGGATTCTGCAGGCACAGGCCATAGATGGTTGAGTTTTTATATGGGCTGCTATCAAAGACTATTTTAATATTATCTAAAAAAAAAAAAGATTAAAAAGATTACATTTGTCATTTATTCTTAACTTCAGTTTTTTTTTTACTTAATAACTAAATAAGTTTGACCAAAACAATCCACAAAAATAGGCAGTTGGTGTCAACTCCTGCCACGCGTCACTGAGCGACAGACCTACAGGGGGCGGTATGTCTCACATGTCGAATTGCCCTACTTTCCATTTACGTCTTTTGCTGTTTTCACACAATTATTAGCATAAGTACAACAAATAATGAGAACCATAATGATAATAATAATAATAATAAAAACCTCACTGATATTGTTATTTCTTTTAAATCGCAAAGTTACGAGTTGACAATAAGAGCCTAGAGAAACGAGCAGGACTCGTAATAAACTAAAAAAATATATTAAAATAATAATAATAATGAAGCAGCATTAATTAAACACCCAGTGCAAATAATGTCATAACCATCTACTGTTCAGTATTAAATGGGTTTATGGAAAAAGGATGTATGCACCTGGTTCAGGGGTATTGTATTAGTAATCAGATGGGTTTCAACATGACATGAAACTACTTGTTGACTCTGATAAACACAGCACTTGATGGAATCTTGGAGAAGGCATGGTGTCCACCCAGTGTGGGATCACATTCTGTACACGGACAGCTCTAACTGTGGTAAAACCCAAAACCTTGCAGCCCAAACAGGAGACGTCAGTGATTCTCCGTGTGAATTAGAAACAGATTTTAAACCACCTAACAAAAGAGTCCACTCCGAAGTCTATTATTCAAAACTGTGCACCTTTTTTTTCTCACTGAGGCAGCAGGTTCACTGTGTTCTTTAATACGGTCATTCTCAAACAGTGGGGCGTGTCCACCTGGGGGGGCCTGGGGGTGAGGTGCAGAGGGGGACAGGAGGGGTTGGGCGCGAGAGGCTTCCAATGAAATACGGCACACTGTATGACGCCGCTGTAATGCTTGAATGACAAACAAACCTCCAGTCACTAGGTGGCAGCAACTCATACAGTGGTTTGTAAAGATAAGGAAACACATAATTGTTTTTCAATTTGTGGGTGGGACGGTGAAAGGGGAGAAGGTTGGGGTCTGTTATGAAAATGATTGAAAACCACTGCTTTAGTAGTTGAATTCCTTAATACTCAATGGCGCCTCCTGTGGCAGTCTGTGTGAACTGCAATAGGTTTTTTTTTTCAATTTACTGATTAAAGCAATCATGGTGCAACATAAAAATAAAAACTCAGGTACGTTCTGTTATGTGGTTAAAATCTGTTTGTAATTGAAAGACATCGTGTTAGCTTATTTATTGACATAAAAACTTACCATAATCCCTATCATGGACCAATGTCTTAAATACCATCAATGGAACGAAACTTTAGTCCAGATGTTTTGCCATCAGTTCGACATCCGAAAATACTTGTATTTGGAATCATGCAGGTTCATGCTAGAAAACAGGAAAACATTAAGAGGCGGATTGATGGTCAATTTGTGGCATGAGAGGAACTGGAGAAAAGAAAGGGAAAAGTTTGCGTTGCGTTGGAGCAGAGCAAGTTGGGAGAGGAAAGTTAAGTTACTTCTTCTCTGTGAGTCATCGAGAGGAGTTATTTCCAGAGACTGTGGTGCGGGGATGATTCCATCGTGGCAGTTCTCTTCTGGGTTCCTGTTAACGCACAGAGCATAAAAATAACCGCAGCTAAAAATTGTAGCTCAACATAAAGCTCTTTTGAGAGACGCTACTGGTGCAACACAGGAGTGTGACAGGTTTTCCCTCACCTTTTTTAAACATTATATATATATATATAAATATATATACACATATATATATAAATATATATACATGTATATAAATATATATATAAATATATATATACATATATATAAATATATATATATTATTTAACTATAATAATATACAAGATTTAAGTATCAGGGAGGCAGGAGTAAAACAGGTAAACATGCATGAGACCTGACATCACAGCATGCTGTTTGGCTATACCAGTACTTCTCAAACAGTGGGGCGGGCCCCCTTGGGGGGCGGGCTGAGGTACCAGGGGGGACGTGAAGGGCCTCCAGTGGAATATGGAATGCTGGACATAACTGTACCACTGCTGTAATGTGTGAATGATAACAAGCCTCCAGCCACTAGGTGGCAGCAACTCATACAGTGGTTTGTACAGATAAGAAATATACATGTTATCAGGTTCTTAATAGTGGTTTGCGTGGGTCGGAGGGGAGTGGGTGAGAACCACTTGTATACTATATTAATACTGTGAGACATAGCCCACAGATTTGTAACTAACCGACGAGTTAGTAGGTTGCGGGTGGTACATAATCTTTTTTTTTCCTTTCTAAATCCGTAACATCATTCCTCTGCCAAGCCCATCTCTGCCAGATGTGCACACAGCAAGCCTGGCAGTGAAATTGCCAGGTTTTGCACTAATCACAGGTTTGACTAAATGATGGTTTCCTCACATGCTCTACAGACAAATGACACTTTTTAGACAAAAAAAAAAGCTTTGGTTAGGTAGGAGTCGTAATGCAGTGCAATACATCTAAATATGGAGGATTAAAGATGAGAAACAACTGGAAATATGACTAATTTTCAAATAGGTGAAACCACAGGCATATACTGTACCAAATAAAAAGGACAGAGAAAAGTCAATAATAATAATAATTATTATTATTATTTAAAATATATTTTTTTAAAATATACTGAACATGAAATATTTGTGTTTTTTTTTTTTCATTTTTAAAATTCTTCAAGCGGGCCGAATTGAACATCATAGAGGACCACCTGTAGCCCACGGGCCGTATGTTTAACACCCCTGTTTTAGAGTGACATGTACACTTGAGGAGAAATGGCAAACAGCATACCTGCAGTTGTAGGATGGCTTTCCTTTCACTTTGAGTACTGAAAAGCAGGGAACAAGAGACAGGGTCACTAATATATATGTGGAACTTTGACTGCACACATAGTGCACACCTCAGTGATTATTTATGATTTCAGAGCATCCATGACTTATAGCTGGTCAGATTCTGCTGCATGTGCGGCTGCTGGAGGAGCGTGCTTTAGCTTCTGACTGAATACAGCATCGGGCTTTGTCCTTGGACACAGCCTCTCTACGTCTGGATCTCTTTGAAGTACCAGCCACCATTTATGTATTTCAAATACATGACCTACATACTGAGCCGACTGCCTAATGTATTCATTTGTGGCTTGGTTTTCACTTTTGTTTTGGGGGAGGTTGGTAAAGCAAAGGACTGTGACACATAATTTTTAGGTATATGTATGTGTATATATGTGTAATTGTATTTAGTTTACTAATTTTCAGTTAAAACATATTAGTTTTTTTTATATGCATTCGTTATGCATTCAACATTCACATTGCAAAGTGTATCATTATCATTATTTATTATTTCATTTATTCTAATACCTTATATACCCTTTCTACTAGCTGACGTTGCTAAGGCTACACAGAATGCCCCATACAAGGGTCACAAATACACATATACATACACATATTGTAAAAAAAAAAGTTACTTCTCCTTGTCATTAGTTAGTCTAAAAAAGTGAAGTGAAGACATTAAGTATTTATAAGTAAGTATATATATATATAAGTGTATATAAAAGTATGTATTATAAATTTATATAAGTATTTAGTGAGTTTGAGTTAGGCAAATTAACCTACCGTACTCGTCGAACTGAGAGGCAAAACCATACATTTCTTTTGATATACTCACAATACAGTTCAAAATATCAAAAAAATATACTAGGGTTAACGTAACATATATTATTATATATTATATATTTGATTAAATTACATTTTTTTCCAATAATGCTATTTTATCCATATTGTTATGCGCAAGAATCATTTAGATATATATACATTTTCATATAACAAGATGGACAAAATGCAGTTATTGGTCCTAAATATATATATATTTATATATATATATATACACACATATATAGGAACAATAACTGTATTTTATCCATAGATACATATATATTTATTCTTGTTATTTATTTAATTTGCAAATGAATCATATATATTTGTATGCATATATATATAAACATATATTTGCATAATTTGTAATCATTGAGACGTACCTCCAGGGTGGACGCTCTGGAGTCAGTGGTCTCACTCGGCCCTATGCTCCTGGGTATACTCGACACAAAATACCCAGCTCCTTTAGGGATTATAGGTTGTCTCACAACCACTTTGCCTTTTCTGGTCTCTGCCAGAAATAAACTGTACCAGTAGGCATCACTGGAGATGAGGGTGGAATCTGCAATGGTGGAACTCCGTTGGCTGATCACACTGTTTCTGCTGATCACGCTGTTCCTATTAGCCGGGGGAATCTTGATGGCCTTCGGCTTTGGCTTTTGACACTTCAGCACTATAATAACCAGGATAGTTATCAGCAGCAGAAAGGACACCGCTCCTAGACCTATCACTAAATACAGGTTGAGGTCAGTGAAGACGTCATAATCGAGGGGCAATTCTGTAGTCTCTGTAGAAAAGGACATGACGTTTTCCACCGTTGATATCTTTATAGTGACAGTAGCAGACAGCGAGGGTTGACCGTTGTCTTTTGCGACCACCACTAGCCGCTGCTGTCGTGGGTCTCTGTAACTGAACATCCTTGTGGTTCGGATTTCGCCGTTGTACTGATCGAGGCTGAAGAGCGACGCGTCGGTGATTTGCAGGAGTTGGTAGGTGACGCGGGAGTTCTGCTCAGAATCAGCATCGATGGCGATGACTTTTGTCACCAAGTGTCCTTTCTCTGTGGACCTGGGGATCACCTCCTCTACCACGGAGCCCTGAGCTCGCCATGGCGAGACTATGAGAGGAGCGTTGTCATTTTGGTCCAGAATGATGATTTGGACCGTGACGTTGCTGCTCAGCGGAGGCAAACCGGAATCTCTTGCCTCAATGTGGAAGAGGAATTCCCTCTCTCGCTCGTAGTCAAAGGTTTTCAGGGCATAAAGGTCACCGTTTTCAGGGTTGGTAGAGAACAGCATTGACATACCTGTGTTAACAATCTCCTTCTCCATGATGAAGTACACCAGGTATTGATTCTCATTCAGGTCTGGGTCATGTGCACTTAGTGATGTCAGTAAGGCCCCTGGCACGTTGTTCTCCATGACGTGGATTGTGTAAAACGACTGAGGAAAAGTGGGCGCGTTGTCATTAATGTCCAAGATGTCCAATGTGATGGTCTCGTTTTCCGACAAGGCCGGCGACCCCTTGTCTGCCACCCTGAAAACGAGTTCATATTTGCCTCTCAGCTCTCTGTCCAGTGGCTTTGACACCAGAAGCTCGAAGTAATCCTCCGAGGATTTGTTTAACACAAAGGGTAAGGTTGCCTGCTGATTTAGGCTCAGTTCTACTTCACCATTTTCTCCGGAGTCCCTGTCACTCACACTGACCACCGCTACTAGCGTGCCCACAGGGACATCCTCGCTCAGTGCACTTTTCAGAGACTTGATGGTCACCTCGGGGTAGTTGTCGTTCAAATCTTTCACAAACACCATCACCTTGCACTGTCCCGACAGCGGATTTGCCCCTCCGTCCTGGGCTTGAATGTACATCTCGAAGCTTTGACTCTCCTCGTAGTCGATCACGCCCTTCACCTTGATCTCACCTGTGTTAGGGTCCAGGGAGAACAGCTCCTGGGTCTTTTCTGAGGTGTACAGCGTGTAAGAGTAAGTCAACCGGGCGTTTATGCCTTCATCCAAGTCCAACGCACTCATCGTCATGACCACAGTCCCCGCAGCTGTGTTCTCCAGAACACTGACCTCATATACCGGCTGACTGAACTGAGGAGCATTGTCATTGATGTCCAGTACATTAATAGTGATACTGGCTGTTCCAGAGCGAGGAGGGACACCTCCGTCCACAGCTGTCAAGATCAAATTATGAACTGACTGCTCCTCCCGGTCCAGCTCACCGCTGAGGACCAAATCAACGTATTTGGAGCCATCGCTGCCCGTTTGTATGTCAATGATGAAGTATTTGCTCGTGCTGAGATAGTAGGTCTTGATGGAATTGGCCCCCACATCTGCATCCACAGCGTTCGTCAGTGAAAACCTCTCGCCGGTAGGGGTCGCCTCGGAAATGTCCAAGGGCATGGTTTTTCGGCGGAACACGGGAGCGTTGTCGTTGATGTCCATGATCTCCAGCTCGATGTTAAAAATGCGGACGGGGTTCTCGAGGATGACGTCCATTTTCAGGAAACACGAGGTGCTTTTGGTCGTGCATATGCTCTCCCTGTCCATCCTCTCGCGGATCACCAGCTCTCCCGTCTCTTTGTTAATGTCGAGGTAATTTTTGCTGCCGATCACATCGAGCTTTGCTCTGCGCTGCACCAGACTGCGAACATCCATGCCCAAATCCGTGGCCAGATTTGCAACAAAAGAGCCCTCCTCCATCTCCTCCGGAACCGAGTACCGGGTGATAGAGAGCGAAACCCCCCATAGTGCAGTAAATGTAAAAACGGCCACGACACAGCGTGTCCGGAGAGGTGCAAAGGAAAAAGCCATGACTGGGGTGATTTTATAAGTGAACGTACAAAACGAGTTCTTACGGTTCCGTTGTCTCCGTCAAAGCGGGTTCCTGTGGCATTCTTGCCTTGCACGAGTTGTAGCTGCAGCACCAGGAGCACAGAACAGCGCTGATGAGGGAGCCTGACGCGCTCAAGCTCTGCAGGGCCGTACACGGTGTCGGTGTGGTCTATGTGGGGGGCGGGGCTGGGGGGGGGGGGGTTTTGGGTAAGAATAAACTAATTTATATTAATAGACACAAAAACATAAGTAAACAATAGGCTGCTGGCTTCCTGTATTGGGAACCAACCATAAATCTAGCAATTTTGCATTGTCTTATCCAGCAGAAAATCATTCATGATAGGTCTTAAAGTACGGGATGTACTTGATGTACTAAGTCAAGAGAGTTCCATGACACAAAGTGTATGACAAATACACATTACTTAAAATAGCGGTAACCAAAGTGCAGGTTGGGTCTCCATTAGGGAACCATGCATATCCATCCGAATATTTAGTGAGTAAAAGTTGTCCAACGACAGAACTTACCGCAAATTCTAGTGAACAACCGATGGTCACTACCCAAACGATGTATCCCATGGGTCTCTCCGTTTTAACTGTGCGACAGAAATGGCGTAATTACCTACGCGCTGAAGTAGTGTCCGAAACCGCTGTACGTAATTCCCTACGTAGGGAGTAAGTATTAGTGGGTGAGTTCCGAAACAGCCACGGTTTTAAAGTTCAACGGAGTGCGGAAGTGGGTTTGACAATAGTTCTATCTACAAAGAGAGGGGCCAGATATGATTTCACAGAGACCAGGCCAATTAAGTACAGTCAACGTTAATTACCGACAGGTGTACACACGGCGTTGATAATGAAGCACGGAAGCCGTGTTGGTGTTTTTAAATGTGACAATAAATTAACCTTTTTTTTTAAATTCAAATTCTTATTGTTGTGCAGTGTTTTGGAGAGTACTTTTTTTTAATTAATGTATGTTTTTAATACATACAATAGTTTGAGTATAAAATGCGATTATTTTAAACGACATCATCAAAGATCTTAAAATTAAATGCGGCAACTGGATAATTATCAGTGGTGAATTGGCGACCTCTAGTGGATATAAAAGAGTAATCCATTTGCCTGGGTACGTGTAGACTGAGGATTGGTACTGAATGAAAGGGAATTGTAAATATATATTTTTTTACAGTTCCATTGTATATGTGTATGTTTATTATAAGGATTTAAAGCTTAATGTGTTGCTGGATTTAAAACAATATTTCTTACAATTTCCAAGTTTAAAAAAAATCACAAACACCCGTTTGTAAAACGTGCAGTCAGCCACAAGACATGCATTCCATTCGGGTAAATCAGAATCCGACTAAAATGGAGACCAACACTCTTTACTGACTCATTAGATTTACCGGAGGGAGAAGTTAGATGGACACGCATCAGCACTTTTGCAACCCTGACATGACAAAAGTGCTGATGTGTGCCAGAAGCTATAGAAGAGTAATACCTGCGGAGTAGTCTTGCCTACAGCTGTCTGTGGGACCGGATGAATATTACGGGGTCAATCTTCAGGAATTACGGAGACAGTTCACATGAGGCTGCAGGAAACTTATTTTTGAATGGGCTGACCTGATAAAACCTTCGACTGCATGTTGAGCAATCCTTTACTACTTTCATCACAACCATTTTTTTTGACATAGAACAAAAAGGAGTCAGGAGTAAAGTCATTTATTTTGCGTAGTCCAAATTCACGAAAGTTGTAAGCATTCAAGTAAAATTGTAACCCACAAATCCTCTGTAGCTAATGAGAAAAAAAAAAGGGTTTTACAGTTAATATAGATGTCAAGTTACAAGTTGAGCATGGACTTTGGAAATGTTAGGTCGTGTGGGGTAAATGGGGTAGATAGCAAACTAATCTAAAGATGGACAGGAGGAACCAGGAGCAGATAAGAAAGACTACTGGTGAACAAAAGGCTCTTCCTCCCGTTCGACTCACCTCAACGTATTCAATCGGAGAACCTCAAGTAAGCCTGCATCTTTGAACCAAACTGAGCTGTTGTGCTTGAAGGGTATTATGGGATTTTTGGTAAGCAGTGGAGCCTGGATATGACGGGCTCCATTTGTGAGGAGGAGGATTTTAAAGTCTGTTGTAAATTTTACGGGGGAGCCAGAAGCTACAGCTGGAGCGATGTGCTCTTGTTTTCTACTTAGCAATTTGGATTAGCTTAACTGTAAGAACAGCCTGTTACAGTAGGCCACCGCAGATGAGTTAAAGGTATGGACTGTTCTTTAGCATCTTGTAGTTAAATGTATCAATTTAATTTGGAGTCTATTTATGTTATTTATATTGAAATCTTTATTCAAAGTAAAGCAACTCTTTGACTTGCAGCGACTAAACTGAGGTTTGTTTACTTGGAAAAACTGTTGCCTTTTTCATTTACTTTGCCATGTAAGCTTGCACAATAGGAGGGGAGCGCTGATCTATCAACATATAATACATTTACAGTGATTTACAAAAATGAATATATATATATATATATACATATACATGATCTATATTCATATATAAACTATAACTACTATACGCTGTTGAATCATTGCACAGAGAGGAGAGGAGGAGCTGCGGTCAACAACACATTTACAGTATTATAGCCATAAAAAGTCAACATTCTTTACTACTATAAAACTACGCTTTTTCGGTACGGGGTTGTCATTTTCTCCCCAAGTGTGCATGTGTTTGTAAAGTTTACATATGACACTCTAAAGCAGGGGTGTCAAACATACGGCCCACGGGCCAAAACTGACCCGCTGGGAGGTTCAATCTGGCCCTCTTGATGCACCAACACTTCACGCTCGTCAAATCATATTTCATTAAATATGAATGTTTTCTTATAAACTTTATAAACGTATAAACATGGACGTAATGTTATTTATAGGTAATTATGTTATGATTGACCCACTTGACCTCCTGTTCTGTCCCCACCGGTTGAGGGGACAGAGCTGTTGAATCAATTACATGCACTAAGAGTTTTTCATTTTTCAGGCTGGCAATGTTATATTAATATACCCTGCCTCCATATTTACATCAAACTATACCCATTTAGGGCATGTGTCACAATCACTTGAACATAGCATTGCCTATGAGGCGATCGTCTCTGTTAAAGGATTGTTCGTAATTTGAGGTCATTTTCTTTTTCTTTCCAAATGTAGAAAAGGTGTTGCACACACTGAGATCCCCTCTGAGTGCTGGCCCCAAGGTGCTGTTGCCACACGTGGGGCCAGGAATGTATACATTGTGTTGGTAGTCGGGTGGTTCACGATGAGGCTGTGGAGTCCATGAGTACTTTGGTGGAGTTTGTTCCTGAAGAGATGCTCTGCCTTCTGCAAAATGTTCAGAATTTAGACTTCGTTAGAGCAGGGATGTCAAACTTATTTTCACCGCAGGGGTACATCAGCAACACTGTTGCCCTTGAAGGGCCGGTTGTAAATGAAAGACTATACAGATGTCTACTCCATAGTGCATGGGCAAACTAAGGCCAGGGTCCCGGATGCGGCCCATTCAGTTTTTTAATCAGATGTCTACTCCATAGTGCATGGGCAAACTAAGGCCAGGGTCCCGGATGCGGCCCATTCAGTTTTTTAATCCGGCCTGCCAAATTTTTCAAATTATATAATTTATATTATCATTATACCTCTGCCTTTTCCCTGCAGTACCCATGTTTCCCCAATAGATGGTGTAAAAAATGATAAAAGCATTTTATGCATGACATTTACATGCCATTTATCTTAGTTCACGCAAACTCTCCATCTATCTGCTAAAGTTTGCACACGCCTGCTATAGTATATTAATACATGTTTTTGATTATTTGATTATTATTTATTAAAGTTACAAATATCGTTCTTTGCTGTGTAACACAAAAAAAAAAACAATTAATTTATCAGGTTAAAATACTCACTGCATGGACTTTATTAATTGCTTTTTAAGCTCCCGCAGGCCATACAAAACGACCTGACGGGCCAAATTTGGCCCCCGGGCCTTGAGTTTGACACGTGTATTAGAGGATTTTTTTTTTTTTGTACAGTGTTCTTGACATGACTACTGTGATTTCTAAACCTTTCGTTACCATTTCATCTCACAAAGCTCAATCCTGATCCTAGTGTGTAGTCATTTTCCTAAACCCCCTCTGCTTTCTGGCGTCACATTTTAGCTGTTATATTCGTACATATTTTCCTATATGGAAAAACAAAAATAATGGGCCAATATAACAACCACTCACCTTTCACGTTGCTCCTCCAGGTCCAGTACTGAGGCGAGACCAGGCAGGAATAACCATTATCATCATCGCCATCACCGTGATGTGACCTGGCGCCTTCCAAATGTGCAGCGCTGTACCTATAAAAAAGTACATAGTCGGTGTCTTTAATCCAGCCTTTTACACATCTCCACGCTTCAATTCATAAAGCTCTTTATAACTGAATGCTGATTGGATGGATCAAGTTTTCACCTCTTGGGCACTGAGCTGTTTTGAATCCTTGTCCAGTCATTGTTTGAAAACTTCAGCTGCACAGAGAGGAGAGGAAGAGCTGCAGTCAACAACACATTTACGGTGGAGACGTTATAGCCATAAAAAATCAGTCGCATTACTTCTGCTTTACTACCATAACACTACGTTTTTTTCTGTATGGAGTTGTCATTTTCTCCCCAAGTGTGTAAAAATCTAAAGCGGGAGTGTCAAACATAGGGCCCGTGGGCCAAAACCGGCTCGCCGGGGGGGTTCAATCTGGCCCGCTTGATGAATTTAAAAAAAAAAAAAAAAATTGTGTAACTCTATAACGGACCATTTGCGACTTAATGTTCACTGAAAATGAATTTCCCGATTAACCACGAGACAAAACGTTACCATAAACGACAGATAATGTTGCAAATTTACAAAAACAAAATGGAAATGTTACAAGAACAGAAGTCAAGTTCATGGGAAGAAAAGTGATATTATGAGTGAAAAGTCGCTAGAGTGCTAAAGGTTAACAAGTACCAAAAGTCAAAAGTTCATGGGAATAAAGTTGTATCAGTATAAAGCACAAAAAGATGATTGTTCGCGATGCTAATGGTGACGTCATGCTAATGAGTCGAAAGACTCTTTATTCCCATAATTGTAGATATTTTTTAGATTTTTTTTTGTCAGATGGATAACATTACTTAACAACACTTTACAACAATGATAACAACCCTCTCCATTACCGTCAGATGGATAACAATGATAACAACCCTCTCCATTACCGTGTCAACTGTTGCTGCTCTGCTGTTGCCCTGCGGCTCCCTGTGGTCCAGCGCATTCCAGTCGGAGGTCAGACCTCGTGTGCCTCTGTGGTTATTCTGAGGTGCTGACGTCACAGGGGGACATGGCTTCAGAAACATGAAGTCACTTTTAGACGACTCTGGCGTCAGACACATTTTATAGCAGTAAACCTGCGGCGGCACCGCACTGCTGTTGGACTCAGGGAAAGTGGGCGCGCCTGCGGACAAACGCATGTTTAAATGGGTCTTCTTGAAAAAGTCTGTGGTCTTGCTGGATGTCCGTGATCCATGCGAGCAGCAACGGCGGCAGCCAAAGAAAGGGAAGCGTGACCCTCTGCTTTTGAGCCGCCGCCGCCCGTCCCTGAACCTTTGCACTGACGCCAGGACAACGATGGCCAACAAAAATACGACGGAGACAGCGCTCAGGGAAGAGATGACGTAGACACCGAGGTCAGAGTTGTGATGCGGGCTCAGAGACGGGTCATACGAAGTGGGCTGCGAATCGGGCAGGCTGTCAACCACGGACAAAGTGATGGATACGGAGGCCGAGAGGGCTGGTTGACCGTTGTCCTTGACCAGGATGACCACTTCGTGACTGGCGGCGTCTTTTTCCACCAACGGCCGCATCGTCCTGATTTCGCCCGTGTACAAGGCAACGCCGAACAAGGTCGGGTCGGTTGCCTGAAGCACTTGGTAGAAAATGCGGGAGTTCTGACCTTCGTCTGCGTCCACTGCGCTGATTTTAGTTACCAGGTACCCGGGCTGCGCGGATCTCGGCACCTTGACGCCCTCTTGTGGTGTTGTACCACTCTGTACACCCGGTACCAAAATGACGGGCGAGTTGTCGTTTTGATCTAGAATAAAGACGTTCACCGACACGTTGCTTCTCTGAGACGGTAAACCGGCGTCTTGCGCTTGGACTGTGATCTGAAAGTTTTCCACTTGTTCGTGGTCAAATGATCTCATGGCATAAATGTTCCCGTTGTCCGAGTTTATGGACACGTACGTGGACACTGGATTCCCTAGTATATAGTCATCCAGGAGTGAATAGGAGACGTACGCGTTTTGACCTGAATCCGGGTCCAGGGCAGTCACGGAACAAATGGCCGCCCCGGGCGCGTTGTTCTCAGTCAGATACACCGTGTACGCTGGCTGTTTGAAGCGGGGTTTGTTGTCGTTCACATCTGACACTTGAACCAGAATCGTTTTCTGGGTGATTAAAGGGGGCGAGCCCGCATCTCGCGCGGTGATGGTGATGTTATACTCAGATACCGTCTCTCTGTCCAGGAAATCACTGGTCACCAATGTGTAGTAGTTCTTGAAAGAGGACTGGAGTTGGAACGGGATCCGGTTCGGGATCTCACAGTCCACTCTGCCGTTTTCACCCGAGTCTTTGTCCATCACGCTAACCACTGCTATGACGGTGCCCGGGACCGCGTCCTCCTGCACGGGGGTGGACACAGACGTGAGGATGACCTCTGGCGGGTTGTCATTTGTATCCACAACATTCACCAGCACTTTACAGTGCACCGCCACCGCTGAAGCCCCTTTGTCCTTAGCCTGGACGTACATTTCATGCATCCGAGCCTTTTCATAGTCTATAATACCTTTAACTTTGATTTCCCCCGTACGTGAGTCCACGCTGAAAAGCTGGCGCACCCTCAGGGGAGCGTGGCCACTGAAAGAGTACGTGATGTCAGCATTGGGACCCTCGTCTAAATCCGACGCGTTCAGCCTTATGACCACCGTGCCTTTAGGTGCGTTCTCAGCCACGTTCACCCTGTGGAACGTGTCATCAAACACGGGTGCGTTATCATTTGCGTCCAGCACTGTAATTTCTATTTGCACATTGCTGGATTTCTCCGGCGTTCCTCCGTCCACCGCGGTCAGAACCACGTGATGCAAACTTTGCTCTTCTCTGTCCAAAGTGCTCTGCAGGACGAGTTCTGCAAATTTACTTCCATCGCTGCGCGTCTGTATGTCCAAAAGAAAATGCTTATTTACACTCAGCAGGTAAGTGCGCAGCGAGTTCGTCCCGATATCCAAGTCCTGTGCGCTCTCCAGCGGGAAACGAGATCCGGGAGCGGCAGATTCCGAGATGTCGAGATTAATTCCGGTCCACGGGAAACTGGGCGAGTTGTCGTTAATGTCGGAAATTTCGACCTCAACCCTGTAAAGCTCCAGGGGGTTTTCTATGACTACTTGCAGGTGGAAAGAGCAGGACAACCTCTGCTCACACAGTTCCTCTCGATCGATTCTTTCATTCACGAACAAAACGCCGTTTTCCAAATTCACCTCGACATATTGCTTCTTCGCGCCAGAGACTATTCGAAATCTACGCGCGGAGAGTTTATCCAAATCCAAGCCCAAGTCCTCCGCGATGTTGCCAACGAACGCGCCATGCTCGAGCTCCTCCGGGATTGAGTAGCGGATCTGTCCGCAGACTGCACCCAAGAAGCACGTAAGCAGCGGTAGAAGACAGAGTGCACTCCATCTTCCACTCTGACCTTTGGGTAATCTCGTGTCCATCAGACGGCTGAGATATTGTTGATTAAAAAAAAAAGAAGAAAGAATTAAATTTAAGTACTTATCAAAATGTCTGGAAACTTTGGAATTAAAAAAAAAACAACAACAACCCCAAAACAACTCCAACCTTCCCGGACTCACCGACTGAGTAAAAAGTGTGGAGACGATAGGGGCTGCCAGCCTACGTCCGATATTGTGTGTTTCCGTGTGTGCGTGCGGTGGCTTATTATTGGCTTTACTACTTTAATGGAGAGCAAACGACATCTGCTGAGATAATCTTTCCTTCCTACGAGTCAGATCAAATTCATGTCAAGCCCCGTGGCCGTGGGACAAACGCCACTGATTCGGTTTATTTTTAGAACATTGTTTTACCGCGTCGGACTAATGACCTATTTCGACAACTCTGAAGTGCAGTTGTAATGTCATTTTCGGTCCTTGCTTTTATATCCTCGTGGCAGTTTGAATGATTTTACACCCCGAAGGCAGACTATTGGCCAACTAACCTCGTAAAAATAATAATAAAAAAAATAAAATAAAGTTACCAGTTAAAGTTATCTTCGTCATAAAGACTGTAGTAAAGCCAATTGGTCAATGAGTTAGTGTCTTTGTGAGATGACTTCCATCACTATCAAGTAAAAAGGTCTGCCTTCAGACTTTCAGCACTGAAGAGAAACTTTATTTTTTAACGCTGAATAGAACAATTTCAGCGCCGGACAGCAACATCTCAGCACCGGAAAGCACTATTTCAGCACCGGACAGCACTATTTCAGCGCTGGACAGCGACACCGCAGTGATATACGGCAGCTGTCAGCGCTGGACAGCAATGTCTCAGCACCGGACAGCAATATTTCAGCGCCGGACAGCAATGTCTCAGCACCGGACAGCACTATTTCAGCGCTGGACAGCGACACCGCAGTGATATACGGCAGCTGTCAGCGCTGGACAGCAATGTCTCAGCACCGGAAAGCACTATTTCAGCGCCGGACAGCAACATCTCAGCACCGGACAGCACTATTTCAGCGCCGGACAGC